GGACTGAAGAAGATCCGGGGCTTAACACACACACTCGCGCACGCACACACGCACGCGCGCGTGCACATACACACACGACACGTACTAGTCAACATCACATATGTCTTGTACCACATAATTTTTAATCTGAAGCTACATATTAAGCATTTTCAGGGCAGAGTATTGTTCCTGTTAGTGTTTAGTGTGAGATGATGGTAAATATTCCCTTTCTTTCTCCAACAACTTTACCTGATAAGCTAACTTTAGGCGAACCAGCAGCACAACAAATATTTTCAAATAAGACTCACAAACCTGAGTCAACACCAGTCTCATCAAAGCTGGGGTTCTGTCGTTGTACTTTTGTCTAAAAACGTCCTTATGTCCATCTTCACTCATGCGTTTCAGGCAGAGAGTGTAGAAGAAGGGTTGCTGAAGGGCTTCTTCTTCAGTGGTGGAGGCTCAGGCAGGCTGTATACACACTACTGCCAGCTTCTCCCTCTCTGTTGGACTTTGGTACTGCATGTTACTTCCACGATTTAGATCCGGGGCTTTTGATGAAACATCCGGGGCTTCAGCCCAAGTAGCCGGGCCTAACGCCGCCCCTGATGTTCAGTACTAATATTGTGCAGCCCTGAACTAAACATTGCTTTAATGTGCCTGTTTTCATTATATTCTCGTCCTATGAAAAACCAGAGCAAGGCTCAAAACCGACATGCGTATGTGCGTGTGAATTTAACTGAGACATGCTCTGGACATGGAGTGGCCTCGAGGATCAGAAACACACGGCATTAATGGAATCACACACGCAGGAGGAAAATTATCTGATCTGCCATATGTGGCTCATCTATCCTTGCCAAGTAATACTGCGATGGACGAAAACAGCTGGCATCAGATCAAAATGCGCACACACACACACACACACACACACACACACACACACACACACACACACACACACACACACACACACACACACACACACACACACACACACACACACACACAATGTGGAGTGTTTCATATTTTGAAATTGGGGGATCATTTTCCATTAAATCCGGGTCACATTAACTAAAGCAAACACTCGAAAGTGACAGGGGAACCTTTTCACTTTGTGATTGATGCATGACTGCCGGACACTGTTCGCAGCTCAGTTTGAAATCCAAAAAGACAAGATAACGACATTTTGTTTTTTTTTGGCGAGGACAACAGCTGACCAGTCGGGCCTTGATTGACACTCCCAGCTACTTTAATGGGGGCTAGTATGATGGGAAAGGCCATTTCAATTTAAAGTGGAGCCAAACTAGAATTAGAGTTTTGTTTCTATTTGTTGTTGTTATTTCAAACCACTTTCATTCATTTACATTTCATTTATTTATTTATAAAGCACCTTACTGCCACCAGTCACGGCTGCCCTTAAAAAATCATAGACACAGACCAGGAGGTAGGTGTGTCCTCACACAGGAGGAGTACAATGATGTGTGTACATTTTTGTTTTTATATACATTGATCTGCAGGGTAAGTTACTATAAGGGGCCCAAGTCACACTCATCTACTTCTGGACCACGGGTCAGCGGAAGAACGGCAAAAGGAATGCAAGCGTGTAAAAGCTATTTTCTAATCCCATTTGTTGTGTGCCATGGATTTCACATGTGACTGTTGGGTATTTTTATAATTGTACCTTTGTGAGGCCTAAAAGATGCCCAATTTGTGTTATTAACACTTCATGAATCTCTGTGTTTGCCAACTGTGGCTGTTCATGAAAGGTTGAGCAGAGAAGCTCGTTTGCAGTCAAGGATGTTGATTCCAACCAAACCTCTGTACCTCTGTAACCTGAGAAGGCCCCGCCTTTTCCATCCTTTGCTAAATAAAACCCCTGGCAAACTGAGAACACATGGGGAGTGACGTGGGGAAGCCTCGGAGGAGGTTCCTCTGCTTTAACTCTCCATATTTTGGGGACTCAGGTTAAAATGTCGCCCTTGTTGTCAAGAGTGTTTATTTCAGGCTCCAGGGTTATGGAGATTAAATATTACCTAAAATCTTGGTGGAGAATGCGGGCATGCAGAGCTGGTGAGCTGAAGGCTTTCCCCAGGAACAGAGGGGGGCTGGTTAGCTCCATGGATGGGTTTCCGCCCAGCTCTCGCATGACGATTCACGGACATTACAAATAATCTCTCTCTCTCTCTCTCTTTGTGTCGTCCTTTAAGGTAATATGGGATAAACATTTAATTACCTATCAGTGACGTCTGTGGATTTTAAAGACAAACGCAAACACTTATTTTCCAGCGGGGGCAAAAGTTATTTTAGGTTTTGTGTGAAAATACATCCAGGACTACAAATGCGCATCACCAACGTGACGTCATCGAACCAGACATGAAGACAAGCAGAGGAAAAATCGCTGTAAGTTCAGCAAACTTTGAGTCCTTCCTTCAGGAGGAAAGAAACACTATGGACCCGGCCATTTGTTAAGTCGCAGCCAAGTTGGGGGAGAGGAGATCACATGATGACATCATACATGCAACATGCTGAGATTTGTAGTCACGCTAATTAGTCTAAAGGTTGGTCATTTATCCTCTGCCGTCAAGACAAACTTAAGAAATTTGGGTGTTATTTTGACCAATCAGTGTCTCTTGAAGGTCACTCAAAAACTTTGGTCCGAAACTGTTTTTATCATTTAAGAAATATCTCCAAACAGCAAAGGTTGGTGTCAAAACATGAACTTGAAATGGTTCTCCATGCCTTTATCTCCTCCCGTCTAGATTACTGTAACACACTTTTCACACGTTTTAACAAAAAAGCCCTTGACCGCCTTCAGTTGGTCCAGAACTCTGCAGCGAGGCTCCTAACTGGAGCAAACAGAAGAGCTCACATCACTCCTGTTCTGACGTATCTGCACTGGTTACCTGTTAACTTTAAAATTCATTTTAGAATCCTGACTATAACTCACATGGTCAAGCTCCTCCCTATATTACTGAAATGTTAAAGCCTTATGCTCCAACCCGAGCCCTCAGGTCCACCCACCAGAACCTTCTAGAAGTTCCAAAGACCAGATATAAAAGTCGAGGTGATCGCTCCTTCCAGACTTTTGCACCCCGACTCTGGAATGATCTTCCTTTATCCTTAGTAGCATTGACAGTCTGGACACTTTAAAAAAAACAGCTAAAGACCCTTTTATTTAAAGCAGCTTTTACCTAAATCTTTTATTTTCTTATTTTTAACTCAAATGTTTAATTTTTCATCTGTTTATGACAATTTATAATTTTATGTCTTAAAATTTTCTGATGTTAATCTGATTCTGTTTTGAGATCAATACGATTTTATGACTTAGTTTTATTTTATTTTGATCGGTGTGAAGCACTTTGTGATTCTATGTCTGTGATAAGTGCTATATAAATAAAATTTACTTACTTACTTACTAATTATAAACTTTTACAAGCTGATAAATCTCAAAATACATGACAGGCGTGGTCGAAACACACTTCATTACTTTTCACTTAAATTGAAGTTTGACATATGACGCAGGGCATAATGCAAAGTGGATTAGAAAATAGCTCTTTTGGCCTCGTTGACTTGCATTCATTTCGTCGTTCTTCTGGGGACTCATGAGCTGACGGGAAAGGGAGGAGACTTACGCTTCCTATTGACCCTTTTACTACCTACGTCATCAAAAGTTGCGCGTGCAGCCTGGCAACGAGAGTGAAGGCTTCCTCATTCACACTCGATACTAAAACAGCGTTTTAAACCCTTTGTTTTGAAGTTCTGAGCACATAAAAATGTCGGGTTGTTGCGTGTATGGATGCCAGAATCGCTTCTCTTCAAGCAGTGGACTGAAACTTCACAGAATTCCGAAGGGAGCACATCCATTTCAACAAAATCGGAGGCGTCTGTGGCTGCAGGCCATCAAAAGGGTTGATGAAAACTGGACTGAAAACACGATCCGAAATGCTCGAGTTTGTAGCGGCCATTTTATATCAGGTAAGGTAATTATGTACCAAGATTACACCAGAAAGCTGGTTAACGTGTGTTCTATTAAATAAAGTAAGTTGCGTTTGCTGGTTTGCTTTTAAGCAGTCTATTTATTTACAGGCGAGGTGTCATTGGACTCCTCGAGTCCTGATTTTGTGCCTTCTGTGTTTACTCAGAGTCTATGTCGTGATATTTTACTTTCTGTACGTGGCCACAGACAACATAGTTGTATGCATCTAATGATTTGTGTATGCCCGTAGCTTCTCACGTGTGTACTTACTGGGCCTCTCCACTAAAAACGTACATATATCGGGCCACTGGATATCTGGCCACGCACCTACATCTTCCACCCATTCCGTAATGCCACAGGGATCCGGGAGTCTGTTGCCATTCGTTAAAGTGAGTTTAATAATATAACATTCAAGATTTGCCGGTGATAACCCCGCAGCGTAGCTTGATAAAGCCTGACACAACGCCATTCTCTGTTGCCAAGCTGCGCACGCATTCTCGCTGATGTCATATTGTTTACAAACAGTAAAAGGGTCAATTGAGAAAAACATAATGCTGCAGGAGAAATAAAGGGTAAATTACTTTGCATTTATTGCGGTTGTCTGTAATTTTCAATAATGTACACATTATATGTGTAATAATAAAGTTTTATGTCATGCACTATATTGCATTCAGTTTTCTTCCGTCCTCAAGGGTCCAGTTCTAAACCAAGATGGTTCATAAAAGCTTTGAACATTTAGCTTTAGTGGTTTATTCAACTTTACAGGCTGTTTTCTTCATAAATGAAGCAAAAACTGAACTAGTTCTGGGTATTTTGTCGGTCTCTACTACTGTTGTCTCTTAAAATTTTCCAGACAGACTAAACGACGTGTAGGTCATGACCCTGTTTGGTCTTCAACATCTGTTGCAGCTGGTTTAATCTCTGGCTATTTGTCTGGGTTTATTGTGCCAGCTTCATTTAGAACTTATCTGATGGATCTGCACTCGACCTTTGTGCATCAGTTAGTGTGTGTTTCAGTGCGAGGAGGATAACAAGAGGAAGCACTCACAGTCGGCATCAGCCAGGAAGAGGAAGCTGAGAAGAAGTAGGCCTGGATGGGCAGGGAGCATCGTGGGATAAGTCGACACATGCATGCTGTATCCACCGTGAGCTCACTGCCTCACTGAACGACAGGATGATGGAAACAAGCCTTCACAACCTGAGGAGACAAGACAAGTCCACATTAAGGGTTTCAGATATTTTGTGTGTGTGTGTATATATATATATCACTCACACATGCATGCGGGCATACACCAACATATGCACGCACACACACAGAAGCAGACTTAAAGTGTGTGAGATCCCTCCAGGCCTCACACTCCACTTCTGCAGCTGCCTCTCCTCTCCTCGCTTCATTAGGACCATACACTCGTCGCCTGAGGTGTGTTTGTGTGCGTGTTTGTGAGAAAGTTCACAAACTAGCTGATGAATTTCAACTTATGGCAAACAGTTTGCAATAAAACATCAGTCTCCTCTGAAGTTCGGTCCTCATCTCCCAAGCGGGCGGTGGCCTGAATTTCTCTTTTTTGGTTCTATTCATCTCCAGCTTCGGATTTTACTTGTTACACAATCTAGAAAAGCAGGATGTACTTCAATGTTGAATTTCTCCCAAATGTGCAGCAAAACAGCGTGATTTCAGCCTGATGAAAAGGAGTGGATGGCTTTAAGATGGGGGGTAGGACAGACCAAGGGACTGATGTATGATGGGGAGATTAAAGTGGGAGGAGACTGTTATCTGCTGGGGATGCTGCACAAAGTGTTGGATAAACATACAGCTCAGCATCTCTATCCTTTCATCCTTAGCTCACTTCCTTCCTTGGACTCCATCTTTTTCTTCACTGCTTTTCTTCCTGCATTTTTTTCCTAGAACCAAAACATTCTTAAACAAAACATCGCCTTCCCTTTTCATCCCTCTCTACCTGAACATCACTCATTCTCAGTTTAGTCTTTCTTTACTTTTCACCTTCTCTCCGTGTCTCTCTGCCATCAGCAGAGCCCAGTGTGAATATTTGGCATCAAAAAGAGACAGGGAAGTGTCAGAAATTTCCCAACTCAAATCACACAACACCGAGAGAAATTGCAGATTACTGCTGCTGTCCAGAAACCGACGGTGTTGAACGGGAGACGGGAAGAGCGAGCAGAGTCAGCAGACAGTGATGAGGGGAACTTTAGTGCACCAGTATTATGTGTATCTTCATACACAGTCATAGATCACATTCATTAAAGGTGCATTAGTGCTAAAAACACTATTTGATTCAATCCTGTATGACAACACCAAATTGGTTAAAATGCATAATACACACTTTGAGACTTAATTCAAATCATTCAACAGAGCAAGGACATGATTCTGTGAAAGAATATTTAAACAATAACACACACACACACACACACACACACACACACACACACACACACACACACACACACACACACACACACACACACACACACATGCACACACACACACACACGCACACACACACATGCACACACACATGCACACACAGATCTTGTTTTACATTTACAATTTATGAAGCCTTAATCATAATTCACAAACAATACAAAATTAATTTCCAGTGCAAATTATTATACCATAACATTTTTATGTTCATTGGTCAACATAGGGGCTGCACGGTGGTGCAGTGGTTAGAGCTGTTGCCTTGCAGCAAGAAGGTCCTGGGTTCGCTTCCCGGCCTGGGATCTTTCTGCATGGAGTTTGCATGTTCTCCTTGTGCATGCGTGGGTTCTCTCCGGGTACTCCAGCTTCCTCCCACAGTCCAAAAACATGACTGTTAGGTTGATTGGTCTGTCTAAATTGTCCTTAGGTGTGAGGGTGTGAGTGTGTGTGCGTGCATGATAGTTTGTCCTGTGTGTCTCTGTGTTGCCCTGCAATGGCCTGGCACTTTGTCCAGGGTGTACCCCGCCTGATTGCCCATTGACTGCTGGAGATAGGCACCAGCCCCCCACCCCCCCGGCGCGACCACACATGCCCACATGGACAAGCGGGTTCAGACAATGGATGGATGGATGGATGGTGAACATGTTCATATATATAAGAACTTTTTCTGATTTAATTTTGTATTTGTTATAATATTTATTAAAAATTAAAATTTTATATATTATTTTTTACATATTTTATGTGTAGTTGTTCTTGTGAAGTGGGGTTAAGGTTACATAGTTAATAAATAAGGTGTAATAAATGGCCAATTTGTGTTATTTTTCTCAATATTACTGTTTGTACTTAATTATTCAAATTTTCTGGATGTGCACACATCTTTGCAAGTGTACATGCATACAAATGGAATCGTTAGTCTACATTCTGAAGTGAACATTTTAACGAGTCTATATTGTGCAAGTCAGACATTCTTCTAAATTAAAGGCATTTATTTGCATTAATATCCCTACCAGCAGAGTATTGTTCAGCCTCTCCTCCATTGTTCCTGCGCTCTGCAGAAACACTCAGCTCCTCACTATCAGCCACGCTCATAAAGTCTGGCAAACTTTTCTGGTTTGCTGTTGTCAGCAACATCAAAGCTAATATGGTTTCATTGTTCTAATCATCAGGCATTCAGACCGCGGCCATTTAGAAACAGTTTTTAACCCCGTCTACAATCGAGCACATTAAAAAGACTTAGACCTTTACAAATGCTTGAAAAAATCTTTTTATCATGTCTTTACATCATTAAATAGTTCATAACGGGATATGCCATGAGCAAGGAGACCTAAAGAGAACTGAAAAGGATTTCAGCCCTCATTTCGCTTTTTTATGTCCCCAACCCGAGTATATCAGCATCCGTGTGCAGCTGAGCGGTCCTGTGTACTTGTTATTTTGTGTATGTGTGTACAGGATCTCTGTAACTGAACAGACTCACCATCATCATCATCATCATCATCATCATCATCATCCTCCTCCTCATCATCATCATTATCTTCCTCATCATCCTCCTCATCATCTTCCTCCTCCTCCTCCTCATCATCCTCATCATCATCTTCCTCATCATCATCATCTTCATTTTCATCATCATCATCATCATCATCATCATCATCTTCCTCCTCCTCCTCCTCCTCATCATCATCTTCCTCATCATCCTCATCATCATCTTCCTCCTCCTCCTCCTCATCATCCTCATCATTATCATCATCTTCCTCATCATCATCATCATCTTCCTCCTCATCATCATCATCTTTCTCATCCTCCTCCTCATCATCTTCCTCCTCCTCATCATCATAATCATCATCATCATCATCTTCATTTTCATCATCATCATCATCATCATCATCTTCCTCCTCCTCCTCCTCATCATCATCTTCCTCATCCTCCTCCTCATCATCTTCCTCCTCCTCCTCATCATAATCATCAGCATCATCATCTTCATTTTCATCATCATCATCATCTTCCTCCTCCTCCTCATCTTCCTCATCATCCTCATCATCATCATCTTCCTCCTCCTCCTCCTCCTCCTCCTCATCATCATCATTTTCATCATCATCATCATCATCCTCCTCCTCCTCATCATCTTCATCCTCCTCCTCCTCCTACTTCTCATCATCATCTTCATCCTCATCTTCATCATCATCTTCATCCTCCTCCTCCTCATCAATATCTTCTTTTAATCCTCCTCCTCCACCTCCGCTTCCTCCTCCTCATCATCATCTTCATCATCATCTCCCTCCTCCTCATCATCATCATTCAATTCAGTTCAATTCAATTCAAATATACTTTATTAATCCCAGAGGGAAGCTGATTGCTGTAGTAGCTCAGAATAATAAGAATAATCAAGTCATCTAAGAGTTGTTGTATATTACAATGGCTGTTGGCAGGAAGGATCTCCAGTAGCGGTCAGTGTTGCAGCCAAACTGAAGAAGCCTCTGACTGAAGACACTCTTCCGTTGTCGGACAGTCTTGTGAAGAGAATGCTCAGGGTTGTCCATCATTTTCTTGATTCTCTGGAGAATCCTTCTTTGCATTATCTCCTCCAGTGGTTCCACAGTCGTCCCCAGAACAGAACCAACCTTTTTTATTAGGCTGTTGAGCCTTTTCAGGTCTCTGCTTCTGATGCTGCTACCCCAACAGACGATGGCTTAAGAGATTACACTCTCAACAACAGACTTGTAGAAGATGTGCAGCATCTTGCTACAGACATTGAAGGACCTAAGCGTCCTCAAGAAGTGAAGTCTGCTGTGTCCCTTCTTGTAAAAGGCTTCGTTGTTCTTTCTCCAGTCCAGTCTGTTGTCCAGGTGAACTCCGAGGTATTTGTATTCCTCAACCACCTCCACTTCTTCTCCCATGATGGAAACAGTGTTTGACTCCACCCTGTTTCTTCTGAAGTCTAAAATCATCTCCTTTGTTTTGTTCACGTTGAAGGACAGATGATTGTTTCCACACCATGCCACAAAGCGCTCCACCAGCTCTCTGTACTCAGCTTCCTGTCCATCTCTGATACACCCGACAACTGCAGAGTCATCGGAGTATTTCTGTAGATGACACGTCTCTGATTTGTACTGGAAGTCTGAGGTGTACAGGGTGAAAAGGAATGGTGAGAGTACAGTCCCCTGTGGTGCTCCAATGTTACTGATTGCCTGGTTTGATGCGCAGTTCTTCAGTCTCACAAACTGTGGTCTGTTTGTCAGGTAGTCTTTAATCCAGGTGAAAGCTGAGGCCCCCACCTGTGTCTTCTGGAGTTTCTGGCAAAGTACATCAGGCTGGATTGTGTTAAATGCACTGGAGAAATCAAACATGACCCTCACAGTGCTGCCTGCTTTGTCCAGATGACAGTGGGCTGGTTGAAGCAGCTGGATGATGGCATCTTCATCTCCAGCTCCATGGCAATAAGCAAACTGCAGCGGGTCCTGATATGTCCTAGTTTGCTTATTCAGGTGGACCATCAGGAGTCTCTCCATGACCTTCATGATGGATGTTAGGGCAACCGGTCTGTAGTCGTCATTGACTGATGGGTGAGTTTTCTTTGGAACTGGAACAAGGCAGGATGTCTTCCATAGGACTGGAACCTTCTCCTGGGCCAGGCTGAGGTTGAAGAGGTGCTGCAGAATCCCACAGAGCTGCTCTGCACAGGCCTTCAGTACTCTGGGGTTGACACCATCTGGACCTGCAGCCTTGTTCCTGTTCAGTCTCTCCAGCTGCCTCTTCACCTGACTTCT